AAAATTAAAATTAAAATTAAAATTAAAATTAAAATTAAAATTAAAATTGAAATTAAATTTAAAATTGAAATTAAAATTAAAATTTTAATTGAAATCAAAATTAAAACTAAAATCAAAATTAAAGTTACAATTGAAATTAATATAATAATAAAATTAAAATTTAAATTTAAATTTAAATTTAATCGTAAAATTAAAATTAATATTAATATTAAAATTAATATTAAAATTAAAATTGAAATTGATATTAATATTAAAAATAAATTTAAAATTAAAATTAAAATTAAAATTAAAATTGAAATTAAAATTAAAATTAAAAATAAAATTAAAATTAAAATTAAAATTAAAGTTAAAATTAAAATATTAATTAAAACTAAAACTAAATTGTAAACTAAAATCAAAATCAAATTAAATTAAAATTAAAGTTAAATTATATTAATTAAAATAATAATAAAATTTAAATTAAATCTAAATTAAAATACATATGAGAATAATTTCAAATAAAATAAATAGTCAAATTTAAAAATGGCAAAATTCTGCTGATTAAAAAGATTTTTTTTAATTATTCGCTGCAATCGAATTACCCAAAATTGTGAAATTGAAAGTCAATAATTCCACAAAAGATGACCTCAAGCAGACATTCGCCTCATGGCGTAATGCTAAGGAAAGTCACATGTTAAAAATCGCCAAAAAAATTTTAATTTCGAGAAAACATCAACCTGTCCCAACTTGTAAGCACCGTTCATTCAAGTAAATTCCTTTTCTTTCGGCTATGTGGGAGTCTTATGTTGTCAATGGTGGGCGTGCTGAAGATGTCCAACAAATATGCCAGCGATGATCAAATGTAGCGCTAATAAATGACTTTTTAGCCGAACGCTGCCGCCTGCAACGCCCGCCACTGCTGTGAAGCCATCGCCACCTTCTACAGCCTACACTAGAAATTGCGGCAATAAACTTGATTCAGCCGAAAATACCCAGCCAAGGCAGACAAAAAAAAATTCTCGCTTAAGCGATTCCATTACCAAACGGCCTCTGCAAGCAGCCAACTTTAGTTCGTATGAAAAACAACAATATCAACAACACATCAATGACTTTTATTAGCGCGCTAATGCAGAGGCAGCATGAGCAATGTACGGAGTAGAAGAAGAGGAAACAGCAGAAGCAGAAATAGTACTAGTTGTTAGGGAAAGATGTGGGCGCCGCAGAAGGTGAGGCGAAAAGTAGTAGTAGTTGTAGACGGCAGTGGCCAAAAATGGACCACAGGTTTGGTGCACTGTGGTGCGCGGGTTGAGCGTGCGCCCGCGTAGGCTAAGAAGTCAGCGCGCAGCGTTTATTGCCTAACAGCAAACGAGCGAATAGCAAACACAAACACACACACACAACGCGAATATAATCACATATATGTATACTGTGTGTGTGTGTGGCGAAAAAGTTTAAGGTGCGCTCAAGTGCAGAAACACATACCGTTAAACCCACACGCCAGCGCACATACATATCAACATACACATACTCAAGCACTAGCTATTGTATATCCTCACATTCGTCTAAGTTGTTGCGCTCTGCACTCTCGCCACGCTCTTTGCAACCGCCTAAGCCAGCAGCCAACTGCTAATACTGCCGTCAACGCCGCTGTGCTGACTAAGCTGGCCAAGTTGGCTGCTCGCTTCGGTGACTTCATAGCGCTTAGCTTTCGGTGCGTCGCCGTGCCACAGAGCTTTGTACATTCAGTTCGCCAACGGCGCGCGTACGGTGCGGATCTCTTTCTTTGCTTTGAACGGACGTTTGCGTGTCATAAATACATATATACACATATTTATACATACTCAACTGCCAATACTCACATACATATATAAAATATATTCGCTGGAATATAAATTTGAAGTGTTCAAGTAAAGTGAAAGATTCGTCTGCAAAGTGCCTGTAAAATACAGAAATTCTTTGAAATTTCTGAAAATAGTTGAGCCGTGCAAAAAAGCCAAGCTACATTTAAATTGTGTTCAGAAATTTGACGGCAAAATCAAATTTTGTTCGTCGAATTCAAATTGTTGATTGTGTTCAAAAGTGTGTCTGGTGTTTGGAATTTAAATGAGAAATTCGTAAATCCTAATTTTTTATCCTTCCCGATTGCAGTGAAAGTTTCGATTTGCACAAAAAGCAAATTCAAATCAATTCTACAGCAATAGAAAATAACACACCTAAGAAATTCACAAAATAAATTTTTAAAAATAAAGTGCAAAAATTTACAACAGCAAAAATTTGCAAAGAAAAGAAAATTGTGTTCAAGTAATAGTCGGAGCGCTCTGCGCAGTCTCCAAGCAAAGTTAACTTTTCGATTTCGGATTTCGATTTGGAATTAACTGTGTCTCGAAGCGTGTGTCTCGCTGTGTGTGTGGAGTAGCGCGCGGCCGGTGACAGAATGTATTAAATTCGGATTCGATTGCAAGAAAGTTATGGTGAGCGAAATATTTGTTTAAGGAGATTTAAGATTTTTTTTTTTACTATTTATTAGTGCATAAAAATATTTTTTAAGCTAAAATTGTTATAATTTCATTCACAAATTTTTTTTTTGTATTTAAAGTCTATATAAAAATTATATAATTTATATATAAAGCAAATATTTTTATTTGCTTATATTTTTAAGTTTATGATAATTCAAAAATTATTTGAGGATTATAATAAGTTGGGAATTTAACAGCCAGTGCAAGCATGAGAATTTAGCTGCTCACAGTTCTAATAGTAAATACTGCACAAATAAAATTAAATTTTCCCTCGTTTTAAAGTTTTTTGTATAAATAACCAACTATTACAAGCGGCTGCCTATTAGAATAGGAATTAGTATAGTTCGCTACACATATTTCAAAGTTGAATTTTTTCTAAAATAAACCATTACAAGTGAGCGCCGATTTAAAAAAAAAATTATTTTAGTTTAATAAACATGTTTCACTGCTGATTTCTTCTGTAAATTTTTTTGGAAAATCACAGATATAAAGTTTACTTTTTTACATAAATAACTAGCTATTATAAGTGAGTGCTGGAAATAACAGTTAAAATTAAAATTAACCTTATAATTAAAATAAAAATTAGACTTGAAATTAAAATAAAAATTAAATTAATTTTAAAATTACAATTAAAATTAAATATAAATTAATTTTAAAATTCAAATTAAATTAAATAAAAATTAAAATAAAACTGACAACAAACTTTAAATGAATTAAATAATAAAATTTAAAAATTGCAAAACTCTTCTGATTAGAAACTTCGATCAAAATATAATTTTTTTTTTCTTAATTCGCTGCTATCGAATTACTCAAAATTGTGAAATTGAAAGCCAATAATTTCACAAAAAAGTGATCTTATTACCATTTTAAAATAAAATTATTTTAGTTGGATCACCTATTTCAGAGTTGAATATTTTTATAACAAAAACTATTAGATATAGAAATATAAATTTAAAAAAAGTTTCCGTATTAAAAAATATGATTCTGTACAAAAAAAAATGGCAAAAATTATGCAAATTTTTTAATTAAATATATGTTGGCAAGGAACATTACTTTTTTTACACAATTGGTAAAAAAAACGATTAATTTCTATATTTTCGAGTAAAATAAATAGCTTCAAATTTATAACACATTTCATATTTTTAACACTTAACAATTTATATTTAGCACACATAACCGAACTTGGCGAAATTTATTTAAAATAAGAAAAAATTTCGCTCTAACAGTTGTTTTTTTTTTACTTTTATAATAATATTTACTTATAAATTTTTAGCATTATTTTCTTAACATAGTTATTTCATACGTTTTCACTCTTGTGAAATGTTAAGAACTTTATTTGAAAAGTTATAACCGCATTCGACATTATTGCATTACACAAATTTTAGTTCAAAAATTGTTAATATTATTGAACAAAAATATTTATGGTATACAAAATAATATTTTAAGAAAGTGTATAGATCGTTCTTATTCACAAAAATTTTGCTTTTTCAATATCCTAAAAATTACACTATTTTGAAAAATTTGGCTTTTTGTTACAAGAAAATAGAAATTTCGTACTTTATTTTTGAAAATGTTAATGTAGCTGAAACTGCATATGCTAAGCTATTGCTCTTATAGGAAATTATACAATAATAAATTAGAAAATACCTTAAATTAGAAAAGCACGAATTTTAACTAATTTTATTACACCAAAACAAAAAAAAATTATAACTTTTTCAAATTCGCTTACAATTACAGATTTCTGAAATTAATATTACTTTCAAAATTAATATTATTTTGAAAATTATATATAAAGAATTGTAACTTCAGTAGCTCAGCTCACAAACTCTACTTCAGTAGAAAATATCTTTGTATAGGCGTGTCAGTTATGATTTGCTAGTTTAAATCATATTATATATATTCAATAAATAAAATAAAATCTACAAAATTACTGTTTAAATATAAAAAAATTAATGCTTCATAGTTAAAATTTTTTATCAAATTTTTTTGATCAATTTTTTTTTTTACTTTATTGCACATGCGTTTAAAGATTGATAAAAAGAAATATTTTAATAAATATTTTAAGAAAATTTGTTAAAATTTTTTTTGTTAACTGTTTGTTTGAAAGAAAATTTTCTATAGTATCCAGACACTTAGTTTCGATATTTTTCAAAAACTGCCTGAGGAAATTCTAAATTTTATGTGCCACATATGTGTCTTAACTTTTGAGTATTATAAAAGCTATGTTGTCCACATTACAACTCACAACCTAATTTTAGATGTTCATAGTCAGTTGGACAGCAGGAGAATATTTACAAATTCACATTAGAAGCTTAGTAAAAAGTCACTTTAGCAGCGATTGGAGAATGGTTTTTGACTTTTTCTTTGAAAAATTTTCTGGTCTTGTTTCCGTTGCTTCACAAGTGCCTTCCTAACTTTAGATAGCTTAAAGTACTGTTTATCAAAGGATTCAATCTAATCAATAACTTAAAAATTCGTTTGTTGAGAATCGAATTGAACTTTGGTCGAATATTTCATAGCAAGCTTATTTGTAAAAAAAAATCAATCCATACAGTATTTTTATCTTGGAAACGTCATGAAACAAAGTTTTATAATAAATATTTTATTTAGTAGAGTTATCGACCATATTGGGTCGCTCACTATGTAATTTCGGTTGGTGCAATTTAAACACGATTTTTTTATTGTGTATATTTTATCAAATTAATACAATATATTACCCACGAATTCATAATAAATGAAATATTTCTCGACGATTTGCATCGACAAATGATTTCAATATAAGTTCCGGGTGTCACCAGTATTTGTAGAAAGCTTAGGAGAGTAACAAACACATGTTTCTGTTTGCTTGTCCAGCTATTTAATAAATAAACAATTTTTTAGCTAACAAGCGATGCGTTGCACAACAGCAAACATTTTAGCCTGTGACAAAAGATGAAATATCGTTGCAAATTGCTTAGCTAAAGGCAGCGCCAAGTGAGCGGAATAACTAATAAAATTGACACGCAAAATAGCAAAGCACAACAGTGTCAGCTGAAAGTAAACGTAAAGTGGCGCACAAAAGCCAAGTTTCACTTTCAACACCGAACACTTAGCAAAATACAAATAAATAAATTACAAAAAAGTAACAACAATCACAATGTGAAGACGGCGAATGCTGTGCGGCTGCGTGTGCTTGTCTGTTTGCTCTTCAATGCAAAAGCATTTAAGCCTGCGAAGATGTTATATTGAATCCAAATTATGACAGCCCGTTGGCGGTTAAACAAACAAAGCAACAACATGCGGTGGTATTGAGATGCTTGTGCGCTTGTACGAGTATAGGGTGCCCACATAGTTTTTGCACTTTTTTTTTTGTTGTTTGTTTGTCGTTATGTTGCTTTTGACTGAGTTAAACTTTTTGTTGCTCATTAAAGTCGTTGACAAAGTGGCGTCGTGACACACTTTACATAAAATTTGCTGTTTTGCAGCTACGAAAAAGAAATACGCGAGAGCGACTGTCAAAATGACACAAAAGGCAAAGCAGCGAAACGGCAAAGTGACAAGCGCGTCCGCAACGGCAATGCCACTCGAGGATGTAGCCGCTGCTGCAGAGCATATGAACAGCGTGATGGCAAACAAAAATTACCAAATAAGTCAAAAGAAAACTGAGGCGTTATAAACACAAAAAAACGCGTTGCTCTTAGCACTGCAAGTTGGGTAGGTTTTGGTGCCTTTGCTGGGTGTAGAAATGTGGTTGGTGGCGATTATGAGGAATTTAAAAAAAGGCAAATAAATAAAAAATATGAAATATAAATCAGTAAAAATATAAATAAAAATAGCAAAAAAAAAAATTTTTTTAAATTAAATTTATTACAAAAATAAAAACAAAATAACTCATACATCTTATCTTGCGCTTTCATAAATTACTTGTCGAAATGTATTATTAAGTTGTAAAAAAATTCCTAACACACAAAAAAAAAATTTTTTTAATTTTTATTAAATATTTCAAGCTTGTCGTTACATTTTTTTCTGATATTTTAGACTTTTTAATTTCTTTCAATATTGCTGACTCCAATTTGATAAATTAATTGGAAATTTTCTATTTCCATTATTATTGTAGATACTTTTGTGAGTTGTTTTATATTTAAAAATTGAACTGAATTAAAACTATGAGAAAAAAATTAAAAACAAAACTCATATATATTATATTGTTTCTTAGTTAATTTCATGACACTCAAAAAACTATTGTTTTTTTCTATCAAAAATTTCAAGCTTCTTTATTTTTTTATTTATTTTCTTTTTTGCTATTTTATTTAATTTTTCCTTTTTATTTTATTTCATTTAATTTTTTAATATTTTTTCGAACTTTGATGCCTTTGGCGTAATAATTCCAAGTTTTCTATTTCTAAATTAAATTTTTATATTTGTTTTTATTAGTTTTTTTTACTTAAATTTTTTTGCTATTTTATTTTAGATTTTTTTTTTTATTTTTGCAATACCTTTAAATCCAATTTGGTACATTATTTTCAAATTTTCTGTTTCCTCTTCTTTAAATACCAGTTATCTTGTGTATTTTGTTTATTTTATAACTTTTGTTTAAATTTCTTATTTTGTTTTTTTGTTCCTGTTTTTGTTTTGTATAGTTTTTTTGAGTGCTTAAAATAATAAATAGGAAATCGAAGAACTGCTATTTCCTATTTATTATTTTTGTCATATGGTCGCAGTGCCTGGCAGTTTTAATTTCGTTTCAATTGTCTGTTTGTTTATTTATTCACGCTTTTAGCTTTCAATTTCTGTAGCTAAAGTAAATACAGTTGTGTTGAAAAAATGAAAAATAACCAGTTGCTAGTGCATTTAAAGAGTTCTCTTGAAATAAATTTGTGCTTTTAGAAGAAAAAACATTATTGAGAAGAAGGCCTGAAAATTATTTGAAAAATTTTAATTCTAATTAAAACTATATATATTAATAAAAAACAAAA